AAAAAAAAGATTTATTTTATTTCTTTATGCATACAAGAACTGGGGTGTAGGCCATAGGTGCAAGGGCCGGGGGAAGTGAGAGGAATTACCAGAGACAGCATGGGGAGCAGAACAGGCAGATCTACTGAAATACATTGCTAAAGAGAACAGCGGGTGGGTCAGGAAAGGTTTCCTGTGCCATGTGGGTCATCTCTCTGGCTGGGGATCAGGTATCACTAGTGCTTCAGTGGCTGTGTCTAGTATCACAGTGCTAAGACACTAACCCCTTGTGACACCAGTGAGGCCCAATAATAGGCTCAGTTTTCAAAAGCTCATGTGTATATCTTGGTGTGAATGAGGAAATGCGTATGCTATGGGTTTTTGCTTGATTTTTTTCAAAACCTGATGAAGCAAATAACTATTTTTAAGGACATATTACAAAATAAAACATACTATAATCGGTACACCCTCTCAATTGAAATGGTTGAAAGTATAATACAGGCATAGTGCTTAGGTGGGGGCAGATGATAAAGAGCTATGTCATCAAGTAAACCCCAAATTTTAATAGTTGAAAACAATTATTCAGTATATTCATTGACCAAGAAGTTGCATAAGGTTCATTTGATCTGTTTGAGTTCAACCAAGCTTGACTCCAGGAGGCAGAACTATGTCTGGGTCTGTTCCTGTGTGTAATTCCAGGACTCCTAGGGCATGCTTGTCTCATGGTGATGGCAGAAACTATGAAGCAGGCTATGAAAACACATAATGCCTCTTAAAGCCTTGACTAAGAATTGGCACCATCCCAATGCCCACGTGCAGTTGGCCAAAGCAAGTCACATGGCCAGCTTCACCTTCCATGGGCCAAGGGAAATCCACCACAATTATCACAGTGGGAGGAGTCACAAAAGTAATTGGAGAAGACCTTCGGTGCATAGCCATAATGCAGGGAAGGAGTGAAGACATGGGAACAATCATCTAGCCAACCACATTCTTTGCCATTTTGAAAACAAGTGTGAACACTGCTTCCAGTTTTGAATGGCCTGTTACCTTTCCTCTTTGTTTCCATTGTATTAATGATTGACAGCAAAACCCCAGTCTGATGTTGTAGGTTAGCATCAGAAAGTGCAGCTCATCATTTGAATATTTGGGAAAAGCACAGACTGTCAAAATGGTCTAAGGTAAGTTGGCTTCCTATTCTCTGCCTGTGCTGTGCGTTGTGTTAACAGTGGTCAACTGTAGAATTAACCTGTGTGTGTCTGTGTAGTCCATCAAGTCATTGGTATGTCTTTGAGAATAGCCAGTCTGGTGAGTGCAAACATATTTAGAACATGCACATAAAAGGGAGAGATACATGATTAAATTGATTAGATAGCTTAAGGCTTTATACCAAATGTTCAATGAAGACCTACTTGCAGCAGAAATTTAAAACTGTTACTTTTAACTGTTTTGACAGAATATACTTATCTCATTTCAGCTAATTGTTTTTTCCTCCTAAATTCATTTAGTTGATGATAGTAGTGTAGTCACTACTTAGTTTAACACATAGACACTTGCTTTATTTTTGACTGATCAAAACACTTGTGTTGGTATTATTAAAAGCTCTATTCAAATCTTAATAATTGTTATGGTCTTTATAATGGTGAAATTGCTTGAAATCTCACCTACTTTGTCAGACATTTGAGAATAAGTTTTTTGTGACTTATTTCTGCCCTTGGTCCTTTCCCGTTGTAATGATCCTTCCCCTAAATTACTATGTATCACAGCTTTAGTTTGTAGAGTGCCCTCATAGGAACATTGTCTGGTTACATGTTCAGTATGAGAAATTGTCTCTTTACAATTAAATCCATTTTCAAAATGAATTTACTTTTCATTTGCTGGTCGAAACTTTAGATTTTCTACCCTCTACATGAAGAGTGAATTGCATTGTATACCACACCTCCTTAGCAAAGTGCTGATTGGCCACTTCAGGGTGCAGAGTGTATGTGTGCGTACGCATGTGTGTGTGTGTTCATGCACATATATGTGTGCAAACCTGTGTTATATTTACTGGCACTGGATCCTTGTACTGTGGGAGTTTTCCTCTCTCTTAGACCTCAGTGCTGAACTTTGTTCACCAGACAATGCACCTTTGATGATAGAACTGTCCTACCTCAGGTGTTGTGCATTATGTTCTCTGTGATGTATGTATTATGTTTTATATTGTTTCATTAATATGTATAAACTTTACCCACAGCCAGCAAAATAAAAAATGAGCAGTGGAGAGATTTAAAATGAGGGCTGTGATTAGTAATTAATACATTTAGGAAGATCAGGTTATATGTTGACAGTACACCATACCTTTAAAAAGGTTTACTTCCACCTTGCCAAATATGAACAGGGAAATGAGTCAATAAATGAATATGAAAAGGAGGCTGAGTTTTAATCTCTTTGTTTACTAAAGCATAGCCAGCATGGCCTTCCTCTTACGGTCACCAGGAGAATTAAGAGGAGGTGCTTAGTGGCATGCCCTCTGCCCAAGTTTCTTGTAGACATCAGTCAGTTTCTGTGTCCTGATCGAGATTAGTGGTTCTCCATAGCTTACAAGGCCATAAACAAAATCTCAGGACACAGTCTGTCTGGAGACAGTAGGTAGCAAGGGGCATGTGGATAAGGTGGGGTCAGGTGACTGTACCACTTTTGTTTTAAGACATCTGGCCCACGAGAGTGAAGAACCTGGCTATAATTTTCTGCAGTTACATTGGAAAGATGGAGGTGACTGTAGACTCCTGAGGCTCTGGGCACTCATTTTCTCAAGTCAGTGACTGCAGAGAGGTATTTAGTGGACAGCCTGCCACAGGGCAACTGCAAAGACACTGACCTACTTCACCTCCACTTTGAAGTATGATTAGAAACCAACCAACCCAACAAACAAAGAGCAAAACCTTGGCTGTTTTTAAATTTTCTTTCTTCTAAAATGCTACTCTTTCATAAAGAAGACACGTGCTATTCCCACAGTCCCTTTGTTAGCTGACTTATTCTCAGCTCAAGTTACTTGTAAGTCCAGTTTTCAACAGGGTAGAAGCCGTTGGCTGGCTTTGGGTCACTGCCAAAGAGACATTATTACAAGGATTATGTGTCATAAACACCCTGTCATATATCCAGCAGTGAATCTCAATTGCACAGTTACACTGAACCTAAATCCTTAAGCCTAGTTGCTTAATATTTTGCCAAGGTCGCTTACCAGGAACTAAAAGAGGACCAGGAGAGTAAGAGCCATGTAAGATGTTAGTGGTAATCTAATCCAATCTACTGGAATCCTAGTCACTTGCCATTTGGTCACTAGGTGATCCTTTAAATGGATTCTCTGATCCAGTTTGGAAAATGTTATTATACAGAATTCAGTTTCTTTAATAAAGAACAGCTCAAGGTCTTTCTCATAGTAACATGAATCATAGCTCCAAGAAATACAGCATGCCTCTTCTCACCCTGATCTGATGACGAACTCCTTTTGTTGTAGGTATATTGCCATCTCAAGTATCCCTGGCAGATGTCAAATAGTCTGGTCCTTAAGAACATGGCCTCTCATGTTTAACTGCCTGGGTTTCATTCCTGGTTTTACCATGTATTGATATTATGAAGTGGAACAAATTGCTGAACCTCATTATGCCTTAGTTTCTCCAGTTAAAATAGAAACACAAATGAAATCAGCATGTAGGGTGATTTTAAAAGTCAACAAACACAGCTAGGGACAGTGCCTCCTTACACAGGCTTGAATATTACCATCCTAACACAGTTTAGATAAGAGCTAACTAGTTTTATATGGTCATTTTGGAGGAGAGAAAATTCAATCCCAACCTCATACAGTATCACTCTATTCAACAAAATGACTGAATTCCATTGTTTACCACATGCCTGGTGACTCTGTTCCCAGAAATGAACAAGCCATGGTTCCTGCCTTCAAGGGACACACGTATTAGGGACTTGGCTCAGGAGACACCATTTGGTAGTAAACTCAGGGCTCCTGATTCTGTCCTCCAGTTTGTCCTCTGATTCTGTTCTGAATAAGAAGGATCCATATAGCCCGGATTCTTGCAAGGCAAGAAACAGGAGGATAGTGCAGCTAATGGACTAATTTTTTAAAGCTGGGGATGAGAGCATATGTTTTAATTCTTTCTTTGTATGACATAGAAAGAGTCACTGGAAGAAACATTTCTAAATGTTAAAATACATATTATAGAAAGGGAAGTAAGAGGTAGTATGAAGTGGTCCATACAGGCATCCCAGAATAGGGCTGACTTGATGTTTTCTTCTAGTTACCACATCACTGATGGTCTTCTCTGCATTGACCTAGGCATCTCCTCCGAGGACTTACCCTGGGATGGCTTCAGTGAGCAGACAGCAGCTAAAGACCTTCCCTACAGGGATGGAGGTCCCTGGGTCCTGGGCTATAGAGCAGGACCGAGTTACCCAATTCTGCTCCATGAGGAGAGAGAGAAACCAAGCAGAAGTGAACTGTACTTGGATCTTCATGTAAGTGGAAATCTTTTCGTTTGCACTCTGATTCTTTGTGGTCAACAGCAGCTCATCTAATGTGCATTGAATGTGCAATGTACATGGAATGCTGCCAAAGTTGTATTTTGTGTGGGGGTCATTGTCTGAAAATCAGATGACTGTGGAAAACAGATAAAGCTACCTTGGCGATCAGAAAAGGTGACCATTCAGAGTTCACCTGAATGCTTTTGGAGTTCTCTGCTCACATCGACTTAGCTACCTCAGCCTTGTTGAGGGAGTACCCATTTGTGGCTAGTCACCTCTTAAGATCACTTTTTAAAAGTATTTGCAAACACGTGTTAACCTACTGCTACATTCTGGATTCTCCAGTGAAATCCAAATACCCTGTCTTCTTTGGACATGTGTAAAACTTTCTTTCTCTCCAACCACTCAAATAATAGAACACGTCAGCAGGAAATCAACCTCTAAAGACAGGATGACCCACTGAAAACCACCACCTTCTCCTGTCTCATTCATTCATGCATCCACTGACCCAGAAGCACTGAGTGGCCTGCACAGAGAAGTGGCAGGGTTCTAGCTACTTCCTTCTTGTAGTATTGACCACGTGCACAATTGACATTGTCTCCTCACCTTCCAGTTCCCTGTCAGAGATGGGAGACGGGGATGAACGGCACTAGGAATCCAAGAAACACTTTTTTCTTTGCCCCAAACTTGAGTATCTGATAAGAATGTTGTGTCCCTGATTTCTTACAATGCTTCCCAGTTCATTGTGTTGAGGTCTGAAAGTGTGTATTTAAAGAGCTTGGGTTAGGTCTATAATGTTCACCTGTATGGCAATTTTCTTAAGCAACCAAGAGTAGAAAAACCTTGTACTTTTTCACAATCTTAGAGCCATAGTTATAAATCATTAGCATACTTATTGTATATCATAAGAGAAAAGCAGTTGACATATCAATTATTATAAAAGGGGATTCGGCATGATAACAAGGAAATTTGTAGCTTTTCTTTTTGTCCCTCTACCTAAAAACTTAAATCTGTGTATTTTGAGATACCCTCAAAGTAAGAAGTGTAACAGTGACATCTGTTGGTCAGATTGCTTGTAAATTGAATTTGCTGTAACAGCTTGGAAGATGAGTTTGGTTTTTTTTAATACATAAGCATAGATTTGATTTTTTTAAATGTTTTTAATTAACATTTACTCTTATTGCTTATCCATGTTGTTATAAATTCTTTCTAAATATATTTTAAGTGAATGCGTAATATTTCACTACATCGTATACCAAAATTTATTTCATCACTTTTCTATTATCACTTGTCAAAATTATTTCCTCTTTTGGAATAGAACTATAATTTGGAAATAAACAACACTGCCACACATGTTCTTTTTCCCATTCTCTCTTCTCTCCAACATTTAAGATTTAAGATAAAGCTTGGATTTTCATCTATATGTAATTTTATGCTTTTGAAACAGATCATAGCATAGAAAGATCTATTTCTTGAACTAGCCTTTAATATGCACACAAAACCATATATATAAATACTCTGTATTTATATATAATTTTATAAATAAATACTCTGTATTTATATATAAATATATATAAATACTCTGTATTTATATATAATTTTATATAACCATATAATAAAATATATATTCATGTTTCTTAGTTTTCCATTAATTATCTTTAATTATTAATAATTTAGATTATGTTCTACATCAGTGGATTTTATATCTTGGACCCTAAGAACCGTCCCTTCCAAGACTTTCCTGTCTCTTGAAAATGCATTTTGATTTCTATGTTCATGTGGATAATCTGAGTAAGATTTCCATTAGAAGAGTCTTACTGACTTGGTAAAAGTTTACACCATATTAGTCATCAGCACACCAGCTCACGGGACATTGTTCCTCTGAAGGGCTTTGAACACGAAGGTCCCAGAGGTGCATATGGTCATGCATTGTTAAACAACTGGCTCACATTCTAATAAAAGCATCTTTAGCAATTTTGTGATTGTGCGAACATCATGGAGTGTATGTACACAAACCCAGGTGGTCTAGCCCATGACAGAGCATGGCTACATGGAACTACTCTCCCAGATGCCACCTGAGTGTTGCCTTTCAGGGTGGCAGTGTTAGAAGCAGCGCGGGATGAGGCAAAGCCCCTCAAAGTCTATGTAGAGCAATGAAAAGCCTAGAGTGCCTGCACTAGAAATAATGTAGGTAGCCTTGGAGTTATTCACATTGAGTACAAAGGTGAGGCAAGTACAGAGGGCGTGGACATGCATGGGTGATGGGATTAGGGATGTACAATAGGGTGGAGTGACCAGGAGCTATTGCCTGTGGGGGGTAGGGGGGGTGGGGGCCCCATTCTCCCCGCCAGTCTAAGTGTTGTGGGAAAGGATGCCCACAACAAACAGAGGTTTAATGGACTCTGCCCCCACTCCAGACCAAAGAGACCGAAGACACCAAGGACTACAAATCCCATAATGTCATTACCATGGAAGAGAGGATTGATGGGAACTGACTGAGGTGGAGTTAAGTAGCAGGCTTGTTATATAACCAGACATGTGGGCCTGAGGGGGTGGTTGTTGGCTTTTCACCGGCCTTCAGCAGACTATTGGGTCCCACCCAGCTCAGCGGAACTGGTAGGATGCATTCACTGATCTCTCTCTCCCTGGGTTATTCCTCTCTCCATTTCCCCCTTTTGTAAATAAACCCTTCATTCATTAACTTTTTTTGGAATCTCATTCTAAGTCCCTGTTAAGTGCATGGGTGAGAATTTGCATCAGGCCAACCCATGTCACATTGGGGTTGTCCTGTCACACAGGCAATTCTAGTTTCTACCTGCTGTTTTCAGCAGATACTGATTTCTCAGTATGTTCCTCATAGGAGGACTTTTGCCCTTGGTGAGATGATCCTACACCAAGCTGACAAGCAGGAACTCTGGGCACCAAGATACCCTGAGAAGAAGGGGAGCTGGGGATGCCACATCTGTGGTTGCCTGGAACATCATGAAGCAAAGCATGACTGTGTGGTGTGTGAAATCTTGATCAGCCACAAATGTTGGGCAGGTTTTCATCCTGATTTGCAGTGTCACTATCCAGAGGTAACTTTCCTTGCCTTTTTCTATGGTTATGCTTCTTCTCATTACTATGCAGGGTTAGGAACAGAAAATTTAATAGGTGATGGATTCGGGCATCCTCACATGGCCACAGGCTTAAGTGTGGAGCTGCTATGGATGCTCCTTACTGAGCTAGGCTTTCCTTTTAGTTACTGACTGGTGAGAAGATTCATGAGTACCCTGGGGGAGAGACAGGAAGTGGAATGATAGAGGGTTAGATACCAAGGAAGATCAGAGCAGTGTTATCAACTGCTATGTATTTCAGGTTTAAACAACCAGTGCTGCCCCCTACATGCCACCTGCTGATTGTCAACCTGACTTGTGTAGCAAGGTTATGTTTAGGTAATTATCCTATAATCCTACTCAAGCAAATTCCATGGGCCATTCTGAGGATCTAATCTGAAGGAGTGAACCTGCGGCACAGTCAGCTCTAACTTGACATTGTGAAGTTGCCAGGATATACTTATGCTGTAAAATTATTTTTTTTTACTTGTCTGATATGCAAATTTAATTAGATGACCTATATTTTATTTACTATGTCTATTAAACCTAAGTGGCACTTTTGGGGCAACATCAGATGCACCAAATATGAAAACTACCCTAGGATAGTGTCTCTATATTACAAAACCTCAGTAACTCCAGAGTCACCATTTAGAGCGGGAGCGTTGCACAGTCAGCCTTAAAGGGCAGTTTCATAAATTTCACCCAATTTGGGAACATTAGCCATAGTTCTCAGCTTTTCTGGTACATTTTGAACCACATTCAAAAGCACTGATCTTCAGACAGACTAGAGAGCAAATACAGCCTAAATCTTTACAAGAAATGCAGCTTCTCGAAGACTCCAGTGAGTCTTCAAATCCAAGCAGGATACTTTGTAAAATGTCTACAAATGAAGAACATGACTGGGATAGAAAAGACACCTAAACAGGTATGACCACCACTTTTGTGGCTTCTTTAGATATGAAATACAGAAAAGTTCAACAGTCATTAAGATTATGTATTGCTTGTATGATTTCTGGAAATAGAATTTTGGGTGACAGTTCAAGACAGAAACTTTGAACTCTTCTTGGTGATTCTGGCTTCTGAGGGTCATCTCAAGCACCTTTGCGCATGTGATGCCCTGACTGTTCCTTATGCATTGGCTTAATTGGCTGGGAGGATACAGCATAGGGTTCCAAGTAATTGTATCTTATGAATGGAAGGATGTAATTACCAAGTCCACACCCAGCCCTAAGTGTCTTGCCCAGCAACAAAAACTTCCATGTTAGGATCACTCCCTAAGTGCCAGGCAGCTTCCTTTCATATATTTTCAAGCTTATTGTACAAAAGAGGAGAAAAATTCAAAAGAATCAAGGGAAGGATTTGAACCATGTCTACATTTAGATCCAAGTGTTTGCGTATAATTTCCTCTATCTCTGCACTACTTTGGATGCTTTTGTATTTGCTTTGTTGTTGTTGTTGTTGTTACTGCTTTGTTTTTAGCTTAAAAAATAATGATATTTAGTGGATATGAGTTAGTTCCCATAATAAGTGAGAAGGATTGGCAACGAGGCTGAGAATTAGACAGAACCACAACCAAAATCTCCCCACAGAATGCAATCCAGTGAAGGTTCCACAAATGTTAACACAGGCACTAGATGCCTCAATGAGCGTTTTAAAAGACTCTGCATCTCTAAAATTATTGGGAAAGCTCTGCAAGGAATATAAGCAGATTACAGTTCTACCTTCCTTCGTTCCTAAATGGCAAACTCCACAGCATACAGTAGATACAACATTAATAGATGCAGAGTGCTCTTGGGTGGTGACTTCACAGTACCTGGAAAGGATCAAATAGGTGTCTTATTTTCATGGAAGCCATTTAAGGCTGAACCACAGATTGACTTACTTAAATAATTATCATAT